GCGCCGGGTGCTGGTGTTGGTGCAGCTGCTGCTGGAGGTGCAGCTGGTGGAGCTGGTGCAGCTGGTGCCGAGCGGCAGGCTCGCGCGCCTCCGCGTCCCCGCCGCCGCCAAGTTGGAGCGGGCCGAAGTCGGCCGCGCTGGCCGGAATGCCCGGCGCCGCGTACGCGAGGTGCTGGTGCTGGTGGTGGGGCGGCTGCTGCTGCTGCTGCTGCTGGCGCCGGTAGAGCTCGGCGTAGCGCTCACTCAGGTAGAGCTGGCGCGCGTTGCGGAGCACGTAGGACACCAGGAGGTTCTTGTGCAGCTTGATGCCGCCGCGCTGGGTCCGAGAGCTGTGGATCTTGCGCAGGGAGATGCTGATCAGGCTCTGGGCGTCCAGGGCGCACTCCATGCTCCTGCAGAGACGGCGGCGGCAAAACAACCGCCGCCGCTGCTAAAGCTAATACTGCTGCTATTTCTGCCTCCAACTGGCTGCCGGGGTGCGCCGGGCAGGAGTAACGGAGCCTGGGTCAGCGGGTCGGCTGCACTCCCAGAGGCGCCGCCACTATACGCTACGCGCCACCCGCGGGCTCCTGTTCCCCAGACGGCGCCAAAGCAATGAGCCTCGGCCGGCCCCGGCCCCAGCTATTTAGCCGGGTGCACGGGCCACGCCCCATGCCTGATGAGCCAATAGAAGTGCCCAGATCCTCCCGAGTGACAGGCACTTCCCGCCCCAGGGCCACCAGGCTGACCAATCAGACCAAGGCGGTTCCTTTGTGCTATTCAAATACCGAACGGACCCGGAGCCGCCAACGCCGCCGCTGCCTCGAATGTTCTCCTAGGGCTGCGGTGCCGCGCGGGACTCAGAGCCGCAGGGGCTGCGGTCTGCAACAAGGGTCGTCTCGCAGCACTCGCGTTGGAGCCTGCAGGCGCCACGGGCCTGGCTCCTGGGAGCCTAGGGTCGGCTCACCTGCCTGCGGCGGCGATTGGCTCCTCCCCCTTCCGCGCGACGGGCCTCACCTGGCGCAGGTGCGCGCGGCTCCCTACTCCCGGTCTTTGGCGCCTCCTTTTTCTCACCTGAAGACCTCGGGATGACCTGCGGGACCCCAAGGCCTTTGTAGGAGGCTGGTGGGGCCGCCGGCTTGACACTGGAGACCCCTCGAAGGAGAGAGGTTTCCGAATGACCCCAACATCGGAGAATACTGGGTCTGTCTCCCTAACTTTTGACCAAGAGGCCTCAGGGAATGCTGGAGAAGGGCCGTGCTCCCTATTTGTCTGACGGGAAAACCCAAAATATCATGAATGCTGGTCTCTCTTGGAGAAAGCGCTGAGACATGCCTCAGGAAGCCTAGGGACTCCGTAGCTCCCTGAAGCCCAAAGGCGTTTTGAGGGCTGGACTCTGAGTTTCCTAATCGCCAGTACTGTAACCTTTCCTGCCTAACTAATAATAATGACAATAGATACTATTATGTGTCTCCTACCGGGCAGGCTCTTGACCGAACGTCATGAATTTCTCCCAAGAACCGTTTGTAGAGAAGGAGTCAGGCTCAGAGAAGCTTAAGACCCTTAGGGAGTCACATAGCTCCTAAGTGGCAGAGCTAGCTGTGTGCCAGCTCTGTGAGCTCCAGAGGGGACACGAATACCAAGGGCGCAGGAACTGTCAACTTAACTTTTGTTGACACTGTTTGAATGGTTCCTTGTCTTGAACCATTGATGGCCCACCTCCTCCCAGGTGAGGACTGAGAGGTAGGAACAGAAAGGGTCTCTCTATCTGGAGTGGGAGCCCTGAAGGGAGTGACTGCTGCTCTGGGTGGGGGGTGTCCAGGGCACCCCGGGTGGGGGCTGCACAAGGAAGTCCAGGAGCTGGTCTGGTGATTGGGAGGTTTGTTTGGGGAGTCGGCCCTTGAGTGGGCCCTTGAGGGACACAGTCTTTACAGGGACCATGAGAGAGAATCTGGAGACTTTGTGAGGGTTGAGGTAGGGGAAGGCACGGAAAGCGGACTTCCTATGGTTTCACCCCCCCCCTCAGGGTTTCCTCTGAGTCTCCTCCCTTCCTCAGGCTGTGCCTCAGGCCCTCATTTGTGCTTTAGTGGGACTGGGTCTCCCTCTAGCCTTAAGAATTCTCCATATTTGTTTCCTCAAACAATTTTCCAGCATCTACTCAGTGCCAGGGAGCTCTGGTAGCATAGTGGCTAAGGCACTTGACTGCTAACCAGAAGGCTGGCGGTTCAAACCCACCAGCCACTCCTCGGAAGGAAGATGGGGCGATCTACTTCCGTAGTGATACTGCCTCGGAAACCCAAGGAGGGGTCGCTATG